AATCGGTCATTAAAATGATGGAAGAGCAGGAGAAACAGCCCTGGGTGAGAGATTGAGATTTCAATCTGTTTGAAAAAGAACAGAGAGAGGGTTTGGTTACGGTACCTGTGTAACTTTTTTGGGGCGGATGAGGCCCACCGAGGAGCAGCGGCTGGGAGCTGAAGGCAGATAATTCATGAGGAGCAAGTTGTTGACGTTTAAGAGTGAACATCTCGGAGGAAAGGTGGATTCCCCCACTCTTGATGTCTTCACATGGAGACAGGATGCCTTTCTGGCAGAGATCCTTCTGCCGGTGACAGCTCAGGTCTGCGACAAGGTCCCTGTGACCTGGATCATGCAGAAGGTTAATGTAGGTGACTTGAAAGTCCCTTTTGGCTTAACTTACTGCTGTCAACCCCAACAGCCATCCACCACTGGTTCTCCAGAAAGCATTTAGACTTCAGCCGGTGCCATGAAGTTTGAACTCACGCCTTTGTAATTTGGTCTGAGTTGTCATTTCACAGCTGTTTTACGGTGCCATGTGATGAGAGTCTTCCAGAGGAAGGGTGGCTGCATCAAGTCTCCTGGTCCACCATGTAAGGAGGTCACACAAGATTATCAAGATGAGCTCCTCTGGCCTGTAAATCCCTGAGTTCGGCAACATAACATGCCTCTTGTCTGTACGTATAGATGTGTGGTCACCATAGTGTCTGCTGGCTTTCTCCACCCAGCCCCACGCGTGGTGGAGGGAGATGAATTGGTTATTGCTAGAAGAGTGCTTTGAGATACCTGCGGCCGAGGACATGGCACAATAAGGTGTCATTCAGCTGTATTTTAAGTGTGTGATGAAGCCTTGAAAAATTGCTAAATCTCACTTAATGCTATGTGAGGGAGAGGATTGGACTGTTTTTTATACTTTGCTGGTATAATAACCCTTCTTTTTTCAGCCGGCCTAATAAGTTTCTGAGTACATTTGTGCCAATAATGTCCATTTCATGCCTGAGGAATCTGGTGTTTTTAGAGGCCCATTGAAATGTAAAAACTTTAGAAGAGAGAGAAATGTTTCAAGTTCCTGAATCAAATACTCTTCCCATTCCCTCTAACCTGTTTTTACAAGATTAGTTGCTTGCATTAAAGCAGAAAAGTTTCCTGAAAATTCACTTTTATCTTTCTCGAGTTATATTTTCTGTCTAATAACACGATGTCCTCGTTTCCGCAGCTTGGGATGCAGCACATGCGGTTGAGATCAAAACCTGGTCTTGCCTGGGGAGGCACCGTGCTTGAACCGTCTCGGGGAGATAGAGAGATGGGAGGAGGGTTTTGAGTCTCGGCCCCATCGGCCCCATCGTTCCCATCTCAAATCGCTGCCTGCAGGTCCCCAAGCGCTTCCTTGGTGTAGTCGCCCAGGGGAAAGTGCGGGGATTTACAAAAGCCACTGAATGAATAGTTGTCTGATGACAATTAGCTGCATCCTAAAAGTGCTGTAAATCGTGATCGTTTCTTTGAAAACAAGGCATCAAAGGCAATAGCTTTAAGTTGCTTCTAACTTTTGCTGGAGCTGATGTGATGACTTGAATGTGCTTATCAAGGCTTGGAGGCATCTGGCTCCTTTGTAGCATCCTTCTCTTTAGGGAAGAGTTTAATGCTGGTGCACTGATCTCTCTATCCTCTGGGGTCCCCAGTTTCAGGCGTTTGAGGTAGGATCCACTTCACTTTCTCAGTTGACAGTAGTTGCATCATGTTATTGTTCAGCAAGTTACGGGAAGACAAGTCAATAAATTTGCTGGGTTTTTCCTTGGGATCTATCAATTTACAGGCTGCTTAAATATTAAATACTCCCAGGTGAAAGGCAGGAGTACACCTATTTTCTGTGAAGTGCAAAATCTGAACACTGACACTTCCAGACCTGCAAAGCTTCAGACTTGATGGAGTAACCTGAAACCTGCCCGTTGCAGAACTTGTGCCATGTTTTGCCTCCTGTCCAGATCTTTACAACGCAAGAAGGTGGACCTGACTCCAAAGCTCAGGTGAAAAACAGCCCCGACTTTGTTGGGTCATTGGACCTCTGAGCTAAACATCAAAACTTTACCTCTCTCTTGATTTTGAGTAGCAGCCAAAGCTCAGATCTGGCCCTGGATTCTCTTTAATCTCTTGCACAGCCCCCTTGGAAATGGGTGACACCCAAAAATAGTTGCCGCAGGGGCTCGCTCTGGCAGTGGAAGAGCTTTAGAAGTGGCTTGACCATGAAATGCAGGACAGTGCTGTGGGCAAAATCTCCGTGCTGCCGTTTTCAGCTTTGGGGAGCAGAAATGAGTTGATGTTTATAGACACGGTACCTGAATCTTTCCTGAGAAGCTGAGATGAAGGCCCATGGTGAATAGGAGTCTGATAAATTCAAAGCAGTATCTACTTCCCAGCACATCAGTGAGGCAGAGAGGGGTTTCTGCTGCTCATCCTGGTGGTTCTCACTCTTTTGTCCTTTATCCATCCATACATCTTCAGCTGGCAAGGCAGGACCTTGCCTGGGAAGCAGGATACCAATTTGCTATGGACTCAGTCCAACTTCTGCTAATCCTATGGGTAAGACACCCACAGACTTCACCGAGATCAGGCTTTCTGAGGAAATACCATCGTAACGGCAGAGATGCAGCGTGGCACGTGCTCTTTAGCAGAAGGCTAAATAATGTATCAGTGCTGCGTTGAATAACTTTGCAAACTTCCTAGGAGGCAGGATCAGCAACGGGAGGAAAAAGTTGGTGGTCACGAGACTTCATCAGGAGAAACGGTGCTGCTTTCAGAAACCCATCTTAAATCGTCATGGAGCTGGAGAGTGATGACCGGTTCCCAACTGGTCCAGGCTGGAATTTACTGGAGGGGCCCTTGCCTGTGTCAGAAACCACGAAAGCTCCTCTCAGGTGGTTTTTTGCAATTGCTGCCGATCCTGAAGTCTTCATGAAGCAGTTGAGAGCTGGCGTGCGGAGTGGGCTGCCTGCGTGCTGACCGGGAAAGGAGCCAGCCACATGTGGGAGGCAGAAAATTTCCTGAGGCATTTAACCACTCATGTAATAAAAATGGATCCTGTAAATGCCACGATGCACTGGGTGATTAATTAGAAAAGGGCTGGAAATGGGGGCTAATGGCTCTTAATTAAAAAGGTGAAATGCCTGTGTCCCACTGGAGGCATTCAGCGGTCCCCACCAAGGTCTGGTTTGCTGCCCTGAGTGATGTTTTTGGTCTTGTCATCATATCGGTTTGCCAAAGTGCTCTTCCAGTCCAAAAAGCAACTCTGAGCAGGGCCCAGCTGCCCCATCTAGAGCCGCATCCCCTCATTCTGAGCCAGCAGACCTGGTCCTCTTGGTGCAGCTGCAAGAGCACTTGGGTTTGCTAAAGCCATTTACAGATACAGCTGTGGCGATGTAGGAGAAATTTTAAATTCTCCTTGTTGACAATTTGGGGACCACTCTTAGCTCCTCTCCTTTCCTGGTTGACGCATCCAGAGGATGCCCACAGCGTGTTGGGTTTGGTGATGCTTCTGTGGAGGTGGTTTTCTCGAAACCTGCACTGGCCTCCTTGTGTCCAGGTCTTCCTTGGCCTCCTGGGTCAGTGCCTTAGGGCTGTACCGTTCCAAACCTCCTGTTTTTTTGATTCCTGTCTTACCAGCTGCCTCCCCCAAGTCCTCCCTCCTCATCGTCCATTCCCACCGTGATTCCTGCCACCTCTCTTTTCCAGCAGTTCCCAGATAGAGAAGATATCCCTGGGAGCATCTGCTGGCTCACGCTAACTCTGAAAGTAAATACAAACACCGTGCTGATTTTTATCATGCTTCTCCACCTTGGGAGGGAGAGGGGGAAGAAATTCCTGTGCCAGCATTGTCTGTCTCTGCTTTTGCCTTCTCCTATGGGCACTAATTGCATCGCAGCCCTCCTGGGGTGGGTGTGCTGCTGGCTCGGCTCTGGCCCTGCTCCACCGCGGCTTAGAGCTGCATAATTTGTTCAACTCCCTGCTATAAATTGTTCGTGCTGTTGATGGATCTTCAGTGAAATATTTTAATGCGTTCTTGTCGAATGTTCCATTCCTCCCTCCCCCAGCAGCTATTGACAGATGAAAGCACTAACACTGGCTTTACATGGGAATTTAATTGTACCAGCTGTCATGCAGATCCCCGATACAAATATTTTCCACTGTTAATGGTTTCAGTGTGGGCTTTTTTTATGTGATCAAATGTAATCTTATTTAATGGAGTTTTATTGCCATGACGCCTTATTCTTTTCACCAGGCTGGACTTTATTTTTGAGTCAAGAGAGATTGTTCAGAGGAGAGCCAGAGAAATGACTGGAGGGATTGAACGGGATGGGAAGCCTGGGATGAACTGAGTGACTGTAGATCAGCCAGGGCAGGCGAAAACTGTAAGAGCAAGGGAGAGAAAGGGTCCAGCGTGGATGGGGCAGTCAAGAAGAGGGAGAAGTTCAGTCTGATTTTACACGTGTATGGCTGGGGATAAGGGAAATTGCACCGTGGGGGCGTTGGAAGAGTTTGGAGAGAGGGAGGCATTGCAAACAAATATGTCCAAGGCAGAAATCATGGGTAGCTGCAGAAACAATTCAGTTCTGACCAGCGCTGGAGAAATGCTGCAAGGGCCACTTCTTCAGTGGCTGTAGGAGAGACCGTCCGTGTTTCCACCTCTGGATGATGCTTCGTTATTCCAGAGCCACCCTTCAGCGCGCGAGAGGGCAGTGACCGCAAGCACAGCCGTTACAGCTAGTACCTGGCATCATGGGGCTTGGGTTTGGCTTTTGGCAGTCCTGTGAGATGGGCAGGAGGCAGCAGGTAAAAGGGCTGGAAGCTGGAGCTGGCGCCGGAGTGAGCTGATGCTTTTTGCTTAGAAAGCGTTTCCCCATCGCAGGGGCTATGAAGCAGTGCCGAAATGCTGGACCACCGCAGCTGGTGTGTGCAGCCCCAGCCCCTAAATCTCTTCTGTGGGCTTGTACAGCCACCATAACTATCGTGTGTTCGTCTCTTAGGTTGTCCGCACAGAGAAAAACAGCCTGAACAACCGGTTCCTGCCGTGGGATGAGATCGAGACGGAGGCCATCCTGTCCATTGACGACGATGCTCACCTGCGCCACGACGAGATCATGTTTGGGTTCCGGTGAGTCGCCTCTGCACACGTAGCCTTTAGACCCAAACTGATGTTTTCTGCATCCAGGGTCTGCTCAGGTGCAGTGTGGCCTCGTGGCTAAAGCTGGGGCCAGAATTAGGACTAGCGCATCCCTTCCCGTGGCTTTCCAACTCAGTTTCTTGGAGGAGCTAATGAACTGTTTAATGAGTGCAGGCGGGCGGGCTGATGTCAGGTTGTCCAGGCAACCCTAATTCTCATGCTTCTTAACCTCAACTCTTCAGCTTTTGCTGTTCTGATAATGTTCCCTTAATGGTTTTGGGGGTGCGTGGCTTCCTAGGATGGAAGGAAACTGGAAAACAAATCCAAGAGACCTTTGCGTTCCATCCTTCATGTGCCGTTGGCAAGGCCAGGACATTCGCAGCCGCTGCAGGATGTGATGCTTGTGTGCTCGCGGTGGGCTGCCGTCCTCTTTGCTCGGTGTGACATTGGGATGTGACAGCTATTTTGGCATTTTTTTTTTTTCTGCAGAGCATGGAAAAGACAGATGTTACACAGAAAAGGCTGGTGCTGGTTGCTCTCATTCCCACCCCCTTTCTGCTCCAGCATCTACATTTTCCCTTGACTTTGCCCTGGCAAAAAGCTTCCTGATTATGGGGCCAAGGGAGAAAGCAGTTACGTGGGCTCCTGCCGTGGGAGGTTTCTGCAGGCTGCTCCTGCAGCTCGTACAGCTAAACCTCGCCGACTGCCAGAGAGGCACCGGGGAGTGAGGATGGCACGAGGAGAGAGCGCTGGAGCTCGTTTGGCTGCGGCTCGTCAGCTCGCCGGGCCAGGAGCGGGGGCTGCGATTGCTAATCCGAGAGCACCCAGCAGCTGGCTGGGGGGCGGGAGATGGGGACCAGCTCTCTGCTCTCACCGAAACGTGTTGGCTCATGTTTGGGAGGAAGATTAAAAGGCACGAAATGCCTGGAAACCCAACAAGCTCTCTCCGAGAGATGAGAAACGAGGTGTTAAAGTGATTAAAGCAGGGGAGTAGGCGTCAGGGCTCCTGGCTTCCCTTCCATGCCCCGTTTCAGGCTCTTTATCTGTACTTGGCTGTTTTCTTCCCCTCTTTGGTCTCCGTTTTCCTTTGCTCGTCCACAGCGCCTGGCTGAGGCTTTACTGATTAGCCCTGGAGAGCATCAAATGAAAATGATAAGTGCCATGTATTATTCTCACTCATATTCCTGCTTACAAACACTTTGTTCCCACAAAGCCTCCCTGTGTTAACATGTTCAGCCAGGGAAGGGACCGTGTCTCGGTGATTGAGTGAACCTCTGCCCATAACAACTGTGTTTTGCTGAAACTTTGCTTCGGGCTGTAATTCCTGGGGCCAAGAGCCTCTTCTTGCTCTGTTTGCCACTCAGGGGCGAGCTGGAGGTGGGCACCCTGAGCAAACCTTTCTGAGGAGCACACCCCAGACGATTCTCCCAAGAAATCCTTATCTTTCTGGCTGAGCTGGGAAGGAAAAAGTGTCATGTTCATAGGAAAGCGAGACGTGGGAGCGGTGAAAGGGAATGAGTAGTTTCGACTGGCTTTTCAAAACAATCACACTGGATTGACAGAAACCGCAGCAAACAAGTGCTTGCTGGGAGGATGGTGCCAGGGAAGCTGCTGGCGGTGTTAATTACTCGGTTTTCATTACCAGATTATATTGGAGTTTCATTAATTTGAGTAGAGGATATAACAATAAACGCATCTTTGCTCCTGACTCTGTCAGTAAGTGTAATGAAAGCTCAGGGCTCTCGGAAGCTCAGTCTCTTCAGCAGCCTGCGATTGCCCTGCAGCCATCGCTTCTGTAGCTCTCCGCGGGAACGGGGGTTGTGGGAAGAACTCGCATCCACACGAGGGAAAAACCCCAAAAGGCCACTTTCTGCCCTATTTTGTGCCTGTGAAGAAGGGAAAACCCTTCCGTGTCCAACAGGCTCCCGCTTGGGACTTGTTACTTGTAGTCTGGAGTCGCTGGGTTTGGAGATGCAGCTTGGACACTAACCGTTAGGGAGATGGGATCGGACAATCCAAAGGAAGCCGGCACCCCTGCCAGTGGAAGCTGGATTTATTTCCCAGGTTAGGCATTAGGCACTGATGTTTTTCTTAATTATTCCTGCCAGTGTTGCAGCTATCCTGTGGGATTTCTCTCGAGGAGAGTGAGCTTCAGATGAGAGCAGAATATTAAGCAAGCCCACGCTCTCACATGCGAACCTCAGGATTCAGTTTCCTACGGCTCGACTGTGAGCGTGTGTTAGGGTGAAGGATGCGCTTACAGCCCCCGTGGTTTTTCCCATATGGACAGAGCCCGGGAAGCTGCCGGGTGATGGTTTGGGATGGGAAGCTGGGCAGTTTAGCACTCCAGACCTTCTGTCTGGAGACACCAGGGTCTTCAGCATCTCAGCAGCTTTCCTAAAGGGAGCTTGATATTATTTTGACTTTATGGAGGAGGAAACTGAGCTTCTGGGAGATGGAAAGTCCTCGGGATTTGGGGGAAGAGGCCAGGAGACACTGGCTTCCTCCCAGGCCAAGCCCTGGCTGTTCTGGACTTTTTGTGGAGGGAAATACGAGAGAAGCAGCGCTGGTGTATGTGTCGTGCAGCGATGACCCTGCATGGGCTGCGGGAAGCTGGTGGCAAATGGAAGAGTTTCCCATCTTGCTGGCTTTCACTGCCTCTTTCTCTGCCTTTCCATCTGAGGTCTTAAGTTTTCCATTCTCTGTGTAATTCAGAAACTAATTTTGGGCCACTGGGCTTTTTTGTTAGTTTTCTTTTAAACCTACAGAACAGCCCTTATGAGTTAGAAAATCCCTAATTCATGAGTTAGGTGCACTTTCCCCGTGGATAAGCAACTCGAACGTGCCTCTAGGAGAGGACCAAGGTGAAAAGCTCAGCTTTGTACCAGGCAACGTTGGTCTGTGCTCACAGCCCATGCTTGGGGAGAGTTGGCTGAGGGATGCTTCAGTTCACATCTAACAGCTTTTAACCTTCAACAAGAGAAGGTCAACAAATTCTGTGTGTCCGTTAAAGCCAAGATTTCTGTGTTCAGCCCTTTCCTGCACTACAATAAGAAAGAAATCAGAGTTACTGTGGGGGGAGACCTTGTTCACGTGTCACTCAGGCAGCTGTGATGGCCAGTCGGTCCCTCCTACCGACATTGGAGCTTTGGTGCTGTGGAGGTGGGCGAGCTTGTACTCAACAGCCTACGTAAAAAGCCGTCTTTAGCATGTTGGAATTCTCCATATTTTTATTAAAAAAAATTAAATGGACTTTAAAGCAAGGTAGTTGCCCGTTTTACCAATGTTTATCCTTTTTGCCCAAACTACAACGTATGTTGGCCGTTCTTTGGATGAGCAGTTGCCAAACTTTTTTACGTATAGGCATCCCCATCACTTGCAACCCCACCGGGGAGCCGGTCCCTTGGTGTCGAGGGCATAGTCCTGTGTGTAGTGGTTCTCAGCCAGAGCCGTGCTCATCTCCGGACAGGCTCCCCGGGTTTGTGTCTCACTGAAGGGCTTTGTGTTTGCAGTGTCTGGAGAGAGGCAAGGGACCGCATCGTTGGCTTCCCGGGGCGCTACCATGCATGGGACATCCCCCATCAGTCCTGGCTCTACAACTCCAACTACTCTTGCGAGCTCTCTATGGTGCTCACTGGTGCTGCCTTCTTCCATAAGGTGAGATATTGTGGCCGCAAAGCCCTGAGCTTTCCCTTCCTTCTCAGGGTAACCAGAGTCTGTATGTTTGTGGGGTGGTTTTTTTAAAGAACAAATTTTGGAGCTCACCACTCCTTTTCCCTCAATTCCTCCAAACTGAAACACAGCCAGCAACTGGTCTGTGTCCCAGCAAACGGTCTCCTCCAGGAGCAGCGTATGTTTGTGCCACGGGAAAAGCACCACGGCGCTGAAGCAGGCGGATGGAGCGCGGGGCCGAGCGCATTTCAGCGATGCTCTCGGTGATGGTGAGGGCGAGGCCGGCCACAGGATTGCCTGCCCTGCGTCTTTACTGTAGCATCTTTAATCTTACAGACTCCCAAGTGTTGCAAGGGGTAATTTGCAGGAAGTCGTGGGTTTCTGCAGCTGCGTGGTGGCACGGGCTGGCTGGTAGATGTGGGAGGTGGCTGGTTTATGTTGGAAGGGAGCAGTGCAGAAAGTGGCTCTGTGATGTGTGCCTCTCTGTGTGGGAGAGGCAACGGTGGGCAAACAGACCTTGAGAAAAGGATGGGATGTTTTCCCGAGGGGATTGTCCTGAGCTGTCATATCGCGGTGGGAAGGTGATCCACTGCTGCCGTGCTGACTGCAGCAGCAAAGACAGCAAGATCCGAGGGGGCTGAAACCATCGGATTTTGATTTCTGAGGTCACAGGAGCCTCGGGACTTGGCGAGGGTTGTGGCTATGGCGTAGATTTGCTGCTGCTCTGGCTACAGCAGATCTCCTGGGTGCAGGATTAACTCCATTATGTGGAGTGTCTCCACTGGCATTCTTGAGCTCCGAGTCATGTCCCAGCGAGTGGTCTTGATACTCGCCTGCGGTGCCACGACTGCTGCAGGTCTGGTGCAGGTGGTGCCAGCGATGGGTGGGCGCTTGCTGCTTGGGACCACCTTGAGCAACGCTGCGCCTTTTTATCCTTTCCAGTACTACGCCTACCTGTACTCCTACGTGATGCCGCAAGCCATCCGCGACATGGTGGATGAATACATCAACTGCGAGGACATCGCCATGAACTTCCTGGTCTCTCACCTGACGAGAAAACCTCCCATAAAGGTAAAGCGCCGGGCGGGAGTTTGTACTGGGCTTTGCGTTTCTGGAGAAACAGTGGTTTGGTCGATGTCTTTGAAAGGCAAGCGGCATGTTAGGAGGCTGCTCTGCTCCGAGGGAAATCTAGCTCCCTTTCTTTCAGAGCAGCCTGGTGCAGAAGCTGTGCTGTGCAGCACGTGCTGCCCTTACCAAAATCTGGCTGCATCGCATCTCTGAAGCGCTGTGCTGCAAGCGTGATGTGCTCGAAGCTGTCAGCGTGTCCCCTCTCCGGCCTCGAGGAGACGTAGTGTGTGTTCCAAAAGGTGTGAAAACTCAGTACAGCCCTTAGAAGCAGCCAAATCCCCGCCACGGCGAGCGGATGAATTGGGGTTTGACTTACGCTGCAGCTCAGACCAAAGGGTTTCCTGGCTCAGCAAAGGCCCTTCTGAGCAGCTGATCCCGAAAAGACAAATTTCCTTCTTTCCATAACATACAGGGCAAGTAGGAATGATTTCCTTGCTGATTTTTGTGTAGCTTTCCAGAGACATTTAGGCTGATCAGCGTGCAGAGGGGCTGTTGGTCCAAACACTGCAGCCCAGCTGAAATTGCCCTGCCCTGTAATAACAAATAAATGTCAAAATTTTGAGCATGAATTTTGGATGCAGATCATTCTGCTCTTTATCGCTGCTGGCAAACTGCTCTTTACAGCCCTGCATATGTCTCACCGCCGCAGGCCAGCTGCCTTGGACATGGGTCTTGGCCACAAGTATGATGGGTGAGTTTTTCTGTGTGGTGTCCTTCCCATCTGGAGCTACTGTGAAGTGGAGGTTGTAGAGTTTGGTGGAGCTGAGAGGAGAATCAGACCAAAACCAAAGGGCACTGCAATGGGACATCTGATTCAAGACAGACAAGGAGGCCCTTTAATCAACGGGTGGCCCCTCAGCACCTCCTGAAAACTGAAGCCCCCTCCAAAGATCTTACTCTGGGTGCCTAAAACAAGAGGCGCCCCAAATTGCTAATTCTTCTGTAGCATCTGTGGCCAGCAGGTCAAGGGAGGGGATTCTGCCCCTCTGCTCTGCTCTGGTGAGACCCCCCCAGCAGCACTGCGTCCAGCTCTGGGGTCCCCAGCACGGGAAAGACACGGACCTGTTGGAGCGGGTCCAGAGGAGGGACACGAAAATGGTCAGAGGGCTGGAGCGCCTCTCCTATGAGGACAGGCTGAGAGAGTTGGGGTTGTTCAGCCTGGAGAAGAGAAGGCTCCGGGGAGACCTTATTGCAGCCTGTCAGTACTTAAAGGGGGCTTAGGAGAAAGATGGCGGCAAACTTTTTACCAGGGCCTGGAGTGACAGGACAAGGGGGAATGGCTTTAAACTAAAAGAGGGGAGATTGAGACTAGATATAAGGAAGACATTGTTTACGCTGAGGGTGGTGAGACACTGGCCCAGGTTGCCCAGAGAGGTGGTGGATGCCCCATCCCTGGAAGTGTTCAAGGCCAGGCTGGACGGGGCTCTGAGCAACCTGCTCTAGTTGCAGATGTCCCTGCTCACTGCAGGAGGGTTGGAAGGGACCTTTAAAGGTCGTCTAGTCCAACCCAACCCATTCTGTGGTTCTATCTGTAGCCAGTGTGAAAGGAAAGGAGTTCCTTTCTCACGGTCTTTTTTTTTCCTGAAACAGCTTCTCAAACCTTAAACCAGAAAAAAGTAACTAAGCGTTAGATGATCATCGTTTCCCCCTTTTAAGTCTCTGCTCTGACAGAGCTGGTGTGGACCGTGTCCTTCCTTGCCTGGACACCCTCCAAGGGACACCCGGCAGTTGGGGAGAGCACGGCCAAATCTGTGCCCGGTCTGCAGCGTGTCATGAAGGACGTCAAACCAAGTCCCCCCACGCAGCGCCTTGGGCGCAGGCAGGGTGTCCCCCCCGGCCAGGGTGTTGTGGGCAGCGTGGCAGTGACCGTCTTTGTCCATCTCGTTGCAGGTGACCTCCCGCTGGACTTTCCGCTGCCCCGGGTGCCCCCAGGCGCTTTCACACGACGACTCTCACTTCCACGAGCGACACAAGTGCATCAACTTCTTCGTCAAGGTGTACGGGTACATGCCCCTCCTGTACACCCAGTTCCGCGTGGACTCGGTCCTCTTCAAGACCCGCCTGCCCCACGACAAGACAAAATGCTTCAAGTTCATCTAGAAGCGGGAGGCAGCCGGGTGCCCTCGGCTCTCTGAACTTCGGCCAGAGGTGGGTGAGGGCGGAGGGTGGCTTTTTGGCAGGGCTGCGAGTGCAAAACGCCTTTTGCTATTGACTCCGGCCTCCCTCCCACGGAGCAAAAGGGACGTCCTGGATTTGGACGGGCACGTTTCGCCCTCCCTTCCCGCTCTCCCCACAGCGACTTGACTGAGCGACAGGAAACAGGATCTCACGGCTTCTGTAAAGACACTCCCTAGGATCGTACACTGAGGAATGGCACGCTGGCTAGTGGCTCTGCCCCTTCGCTAGCCAAGGGCAACCATTCTTTTTAATTATAATTATTGTTATTTAAAATGAAAGTGTTTTAGATTTGCCGCGTGAGGCTTTTTTTTTTTTTCCCCCCCCTCCTTTTCTTTCCCCCCACCCCCTTTTCCCCTCTGGACCTGTCTGCCCACTCGGGGGGGGGACCGGGGCGAGGCCAG